GGAATGGAAAGTCAAACCATATACAAGTAAATCCCATTTATTCATTGGTTCCATTCTAAGAAAAGCAATAAGAATGAGGCTACAATTTCTAAAGTAGATTCAAAAATGAAGCGTGCAATGATTTTGAATCTGTGTTTTAGTTCTATAGGAACTTTTAAAAGGTACCCTACACATTCATGTCCACATCAAGAACTTTTAGTGAAAGAAATCAACCCAAAATTTGCATCATCTTCTCTATGGAACATTATGAGTACAGTGAAGGTAAATGTAAAGGTTTCCCCTTGACATTAAGTCTAGTCATGTCCGATTCTGGGAGGTGGTACTCATCTCCATTTCTAAACTGGAGAGCCAGCATTGTCCGTAGACGCGTCCAAGGTCATGTGGCTGGCATGACTGCATGATGTGCTGTTATCTTCCCACCAAAGCGGTATCTATTGATCTCACATTTGCATGTTTTTGAATTGCTAGGTTGCTAGGTTGGCAGAAGCTAGGGCTAACAATGGGAGCTTACCCTATCCCACGGAATAGAACTGCTCACCTTGCGATCAGCAAGTGCCGCAGTTTAGTGGTTTAACCCACTGCACCACCCCGGCCCCTATGAATACAGTACCCTACCTCTTATTCAAAAAGAAATTATCCCCTTCTCTGAGTCAAGTGGCAGAAGGCAAGAGCTTAGCTCGTTCCTTGGACATAGTTCTGTTCAAAGTCTGTACATATCTGTATTACTATTAATGAAATAATGTGAAAGAAAGAATTTATTAAAGTTAGCCCATTTCGTTGATTTATGAGATTTAAAACATGTCACCTGACAAGTTACTCAGAATATCAAACGGTACATTAAAATTATGAGAGCCTATCACTGCTATTTAGATGCAGTATGATTCTCACTGAGTGAAAAAAATTATGGAAGGTGAAATTGTTGTTAAATGAGTGGTGACAAGTTAATATCTATCTATCTATCTATCTATCTATCTATCTATCTATCTATCTATCTATCTATATATCTATCTGTCTGTGAATTGCACTCCTTGGCTTAACCAAACAGATATTGTCAGAGTTTTATATCAATTGAGTCATTTCTTAAGTGAAAAAGTGAGTAAGTATTTGTAAGGACCATGTCCAAGCATTGCATGGAGAGCAACTGTTAAGCCACCTGTGATAGATTAGATGCTACAAATTGGGACTAAGCACTGTGTGTTGTAGAGAAGAGAATAAGTATGCTAGAGTAATGAAGAGATGAGAGCAAGAGGAAGAGATTGCTGAAGAGGCTGAAGAAAGGTTTGCTGGAGGATTGAGGATTGAAACTATTTTTGTGACTATTGTATATAAACATTTCTTTATTGGAAGACAGTTTGTTTTCTGTTGGTTGTTCTCCTTGGACAACGGGGCGCAGCTTCTGAAAAGGGAGTTTGGATACTTGGAATCAACCTCAACTTGAAAGCAGCGACACGATAGCTGCAACAGATATTTCACTCTTGGTATCAAGAAATAAGAGAAAATAAATCAGAAAGGATGGTGATATATGTCTCCGATTTATCCCTTGTTCTCCAGGGGGATTCTGGCGGTCCATTACACTGCCTAGTGAATGGGGCATACTATGTTCATGGAGTCACTAGCTTTGTTTCCAGTTCTGGCTGCAATGTCTACCGGAAACCTACAGTGTTCACCCGGGTCTCCGCCTACATTTCTTGGATCAACAGCGTAAGTTTAGGCTGCTGTGGGTTTTGTATGAAAGGGGTGTACAGTGGGGATTTGTCATATATGACCTTTGCTGTTTTATTAAAAGCAAGGGTCAGTTTATTGTATTATATTTGGGGTTTTTTAGTTTTTGTTTTTTGTTTTATGTCCGTAGTGACTTGAGAAACTGCAAGATGCTTCTGGTATGAGAGAATTGGCCATCTGCAAGGACGTTGCCCAGGAGACATAAAAATGTTTTGATGTTTTACCGTCCTGTGCGAGGCTTCCTTCATGTCCCCACACGGGAAGCTAGAGCTGAGACAGGAGCTCACCCCGCTCCCCAGATTTGAACCGCCAACCTGTTTGTCAGTAGTCCTGCCGGCACAAGGGTTTAACCCATTGCACCACCAGGAGCCTCCGGTGGCACAATGGGTTACCCCTGTGCTAGCAGAACTACTGACTGAAAGGTTGGCAGTTCGAATCCGGGAAGAGTGTAGTGAGCTCTCTTCTGTCAGCTCCAGCTTCCCATGCAGGGACATGAGAGAAGCCTCCCACAGGACGGTAAAACATCTGGGCATCCCCTGGGCAACATTCTTACAAACAGCCAATTCTCTCACACCAGAAGAAACTTGCAGTTTCTCAAGTCGCTCCTGACATGAAAAAAAGTGAATTAAATACACACACACACGCATTCTGCCTTTCCAAATTCAGAGCTCAGGTTAGCTACTATGGTTTACTCCCCTAAACAATTTGTTTCATGATGATGGTGCAAATGTGGTGGTAAAGTCCATTGAGTATTATCCTGTATCATTTTCTCCAAAAGAGGGGAGATGGGTACCAAAGTATGGTTGTCCCATACTGGCCACGTTCTGGGCTTTGAGACTGGCAGGACTTTCAGGTTCAATAGAATGGAAGGCTTCAGTTTGGGGCCACAGGTGGGAGTATTTCTAGGGCCACACTATCTGGTTGCATGACAAGCAACCTCTGCCAAAATTCTCTTTGAGAGAGGCTGAGAGAGTGTGATTTGCCCAAAGTAACTAAGTGGGTTTCCATGGCTGAGAAGGGATTCAAACACGGGTCTCTTGACTCCAAGTCCAAAAATCAAACCACACCACCACACTGACTCCCAGGATTTGCAAATTACAATATTTGCCTAATATTTAAGCTGGTCTCTTAAGAGCTCTCTCCTTTTCTGTCAAATATTTTCTCTCTGAAGAATATCCTTTATTCTTAATTTTTTAATTCTTTCCTTCCAGATCATTTACTAAAACAAAACTACACCGAAAGCTAATGCAATTGCCAGGTCAGAAAGTGCTGCAACTGTTTCTCAGAACATCATGATTTCTGTAATCCACATTCAAAATAAAGCTATGCATGTTGTTATTTTGTTTGTCCTCCTTTTTTTAATAGATGATTCAGTACCAAGAATATCATAAAATTACAAAATTATCATAAATCGGGAATCAATTTCACATTTTCTCTCTGTACATTCAGTTAAAGTTATCTTGGCTTCTCCTTGGAGGTTTCATACTATACTTTGATGGGCCAGTTTCTGTCCAAGGCTTAGAGAATAAGAATATGGGGGTTAGTTTAATTATCAATGTCTATGGTGTAAAGTTCTTCAAGGTATGATTACAATAAACATGACTAATATGCATTAACATCCCCGAAATATGCAAACTTATTTCCAAAATTCAGAAAGATGTCAAATTCATGTGTATACAAAACTTGGCAGGTTGTACAGCAATTTTCCATCTTATCCCTACAACAGGTATGATAGGATTAGAAACTATGGCTGGTTAAAGGTCACATAGCAATGACAGTAGAAAGTTGGATATACACCACAGTACTCTACTACCTTGACTCTTTTGTTTACATATCAAACACACAACACCCTCATATCCAAGGGGGTTAAGCTCCTAGGCCAGTGGTTCTCAACCTTCCTAATGCCGGGACCCCTTAATACAATTTTTCATGTTGTGGTGTCCTCGAACCATAAAATTGTTTCTGTTGCTACTTCATAACTGTAAATTTTGCTACTGTTATCAATCGTAATGTAAATATCTGATATGCAGGATGTATTTTCATTCACTGGATGAAAATTGGTACAAATACCCAATACGCTGAAATTTGAATACTGGTGAGGTTGCGGGGATTGATTTTGTCATTTGAGAATTGTAGTTGCTGGGATTTATAGTTCACCTACATTCTGAACTCCACCAATGATGGAATTGAACCAAACTTGGCACACAGAACTCCCATGACCAACAGAAAATACTGGAAGGGTTTGGTGGGCGTTGACTTTGAGTTTTGGAGTTGTAGTTCACCTACATCCAGACAGCACTGTGGACTCAAACAATGATGGATCTGGACCAAACTTGGCATGAATAATCAATATGCCCAGATGTCAACACTGGTAGTATTTTGGGGGAAATAGACCTTGACATTTGGGAGTTGTGGTTGCTAGGATTTATAGTTCACCTACATGCAAAGAGCATTCTGAACCCCACCAACAATAGAATTGGGCCAAACTTCCCACTCAGAACCCCCATGACCAACAGAAAATACCATGTTTTCTAATGGTCTTTGGCAATCTCTCTGACACCCCCTCGTGATCCCCCCCCCAATCCCCAGGTTGAGAAATACTGTCCTAGGCTAACTATGGAAATACAAAAAGATGGAAAATAGCAACCCAGATTGAAATAAATAACTTCTGACAGAAGCATATGGAAAGACACTGGAGGAGCTAGAATATGCTTACAGAGAATGCCTAGCATTTCCAGGTCCTCTGGTACAGGGCTTAAACTTTTTCTACTTAAACTTCTTCCCAAGAAATGTTTACATACCTCAGCTATATAGGTATATAAATAGGTATAAAAATCAAACATTTACTAATAATAATTCAGTATTTGAACGCTTGCTAAATAGGGTGTTTTTTCTTTTTGATGAAGTACAACTGAAGCATTTCCTGAAGAGTCCTCTATAAACACTGTGCATTGTTGTTCACAGATTTGCTCAAAGTATTGGTTTCCCTTCAGGCTTCTTACAAAAGAGGGATGGGAAATCTTTGGCTCTCCAGATATTATGGTCTACAACTCCCACAAGTCCTTACTCCTTAGAACATTTGGTGCTGCTACTTCAAGTAAGAGTATGAAACATCTGGGTACTCAAAATTTCAACACTCCAGCTATAAAGGAAGCCCATCTTTCCCAGCATTCAGCTGCGGAGGCAAACACGCCCACCGATGATTAAGCGGATGCCAAGCCTAGTGACAGCTGACACCCGTTTCTCAAAACTTCCTTCTACCACAGTTAAAAAAAGAGTGACAATTAAACCACAACTTGGTGCTGAAATTGTCCAAGCAGACGCAGCAGCCATGGCAGAAGGCAAGACCGGAGGTGCTGGGCTGTTTGCAAAGCGTGTCCAAAAGCAACTCAGCCGAGCTCAAGAGAAGGTATTGGTGATGAGGCATTTCTTTTCAATGTAACCGTCTTATTATTATGGTCTGGGAGGGATGTGCACAGAACCAATATTTTTACTTCTTCAAAACAACAAAGCAAAGAGGTCCCACCAAAATGAGAGACTAGGCAAAGTCAGAAAGGTAAGAGAAACATTTTCTTCCTTTGCCTGGATTGCTCCCAACTTCCTTACATGATTCCTACCCTAGCTTTAAAGTCTCCAGCCAGCCAACATATAGGACATTCAGACCATCCACACTGCAGAATTATGACAGTCTAATACCACTTTAAGTGCCATGGATCCAATATATGGAATCCTGGGATTTGTAGTTTGTTGTGCTACCAGCGCTCTCCAGAAAAGGGCAAACATCTCACATAACTGCAAATCCTAGGTTTCCATCACCATGACAGTTAAATTCATATTGAACTGCTATCTCTTTGAAGTGTGGACACAGCCATAGTGAATCTAACCTACATTTGTAATTGTGGTATTTATAATTGGGGCAAGAGGGCAGGGTGTTTTGTTTTGTTTTGTTTGTTAACATATTTGTTAATAAAGAAAAAGAACTGGTACAACTCGGCCAAAGAAGTCGTCGTTTTATCATTATGTAAAATGTTATGGGATTCTGTGTTACATCTGCCCATAACTTTTTGTTAGGAGGCAAGCAAAGTCTTAAAAGACCGAAGTATTGCAAAGGGAGATGTCGTAGCAAAATAATTGAAAATTCTTCTTTGAGAATCCTTCAAAGAATTGAAATTGGGGAGAAAAGGAAGGAAGGAAGATCCTATCAATCATGAAGCCTTTTCCAGACAGATGATATCAATCACAGGTTATAACTGATCATATTCACTGGCTTATCAGAGAGACAGGGCCTTTTCTGCGGTGGCTCCTTGACTGGAATTCCCTCCCAAATTAAATTAGATCTGGCCTCCCCCACCTTTAGGAAGCTAGTGGAACTTGGCTGTGGAACGAAGCTTTTGCAGAATGATGTCTGAGACCGGCAATTGACCAAAGTTACTGACCACAATATATGGACTGAATATACGGACTGAGTTGACATGATTTTATCTTGGCGAACGGCTGTTATGTAATTTATCCTATATGTATTGGTTAATTTTAATGTTGGTGTATGGTATTTTAGATTATAGTGTTAACATTGAATTTTTGCTGTCAGCCAGTCTGAGTCCCTCTATGGAAGTAAAGAAGATTGGGATATAAAAGTTTTAAATAAATAATATTATCATAGTTTCCAAGTGCAGTTTTGCAGTCCTCAGCTCCTCCAGATTTGTAAGATCACTTTTTTCCTGGCCAAAAAAATGAATGCATGGTCTGGAAACTTGCAAGAGTGAAAATTCACTTTTTGAATAGATCTCAGGCCACCTTACTTGGATCTGCACGCATCATTCGAAAATACATCACACAGTCCTAGATGCTTGTGAAGTGTTCGACTTGTGATTTTTTTGATACAAAACCCAGCATATAGATCTCATTTGCTGTGACATACTGTGCTTTTGTGTCAGTAAAATAATAATAATATACTTTATTTATATTCCACCCTATCTCCCTGAGGAGACTTAGGGCGGATAACAGTACACCTATATGGTAAACATTCAATGCCATTATAAAATTAACAAAGAAAGAACATAAACAGAGGTAAAGGCTTCCCATTTATTTCCATTTCCAGCATCTGGAAACTGTGCTAGACTCTGGCCATGGGGGCAGGGGCTGTCGCTCCATCTTCCATGTCGTGAAGCTTTGTTGTCCTTAGACACTCTCCCGATTGAATTGCCGGTCTGTCTGTATGGGTGCCTTTTATTACCTCACGACAAAAGTGGTACCTATTTATCTACTCATATTGCTGTTTTTGAGCTGCTAGGTAAGCGGTAGCTGTGCTGATGTCTAGGAGCTCACCCCAACCCAGATTTGAACTGTTGACCTTTTGATCAGCAAGATTTTATGCAGCTAGCAGTTTAACCTGCTGTGCTAAAGCTTGGCCCTTGAATCAGGGAAAGGCAGATCAAGTTAAAAAAAAACAAAAAGAAGAGAACAAAATGGAAGTGTAAAGATTGCCCCACATGTTAAACTGTTTCTCTCTTTTCCTCCCACACTCATTTGCTGCAGACTGTATTTAACATGCAAAGGTAGTGTTCGGGTGCTTAGTTTGTATTCAATTCATTTAGAGAAGAGGAGAAGGGAGAGATGTGCCTTTCCCAGTAGACCTTGACCAAAACAAGCTATTTCAGCCCCACCTGGCTTGTGTATGCCTCTCAGTAATAACATTTGCAGTCTGGACACACTCTGATGTTGCTTGGTCACACATGTCACATTTTGCACCTGTGAAATGTTGTGCAGGGATATCCAAGAAGAGATATGTATATTTGTTGTTCGCACTAATTGTTGGAACTATAAGAATCCATTTTGAAAAGTCTTGACTTGATTTTTTTCCTCCTGCCTGTTGTTCTCTTTCAGCGTAGCATTTTTCTACACCTACAGAGTTAGGATGTGGGAAACTACAGAAAGTTACAATTTATTCTCTGCCACAAAGGAAGGTTTTTGGTTTTTAAAAACTCAAACAAATGATGTGGGGTTGTCAGGTTGCACAAGTGTGTGGAACAGGCAAAAATGCTGTGGAAACCTCATGTACGCCCACACTTGGGAACCGAATGCTACAGGCTAGGACTGCAGGCAACATGACTTTGTTAGAGGGCGAAATGAGGCAGGTACCTCAGGTAGCAGATCTCTGAGCAATAAGATGATATATTGCTCTATATTAGTTTTATTCTTGCGTTTCTTGTAAATTATTTACTGCCATCAGACATACAGTGAAAAAAAAGTGCTTGTAGAATTTTCTTCCTCAGAGGCCAAATAAATTACCTGGTTTTGTTCTGTGAATTTGGGGAGTGTAGCATTATGTTTAGCTACAACCCAGCATAAAAGCTGGGTTGCAGCTAAACATAAAAAAACCCAAGATTATGGCAACAAGAAGGATTGACAACTTGGAAATAGAGGGAGAAAACGTGGAGGCCATGACAGACTCTGTATTTCTAGGTGCAAAGATTACTGCAGACGCAGACTGCAGCCAGGAAATCAGGAGACGCTTACTTCTTGGGAGGAGAGTAATGACCAATCTTGATAAAATAGTGAAGAGTAGAGACATCACACTGGCAACGAAGATCCACATAGTCAAAGCAATGATATTCCCTGTACTCACCTACGGGTGTGGGAGCTGGACCATAGGAAAGGCTGAGCGAAGGAAAATAGATGCTTTTGAACTGTGGTGCTGGAGGAAAGTTCTGAGAGTGCCTTGGACTGTGAGAAGATCCAACCAGTCTATACTCCAGGAAATAAAGCCCGACTGCTCATTGGAGGGAAGGACATTAGAAGCAAAGATGAAGTACTTTGGCCACATCATGAGAAGAAAGGAAAGCTTAGAGAAGACAATTTTGCTAGGGAAAAAGGAAGGAAAAAGGAAGACGGGCCGACCTAGGACAAGACGGATGAATGGGATCCTTGAAGTGACTGGATTGACCTTGAAGGAGCTGGGGGTGGTGACAGCTGACAGGGAGCTCTGGCGTGGGCTGGTCCATGAGGTCACGAAGAGTCGGAAACGACTGAACGAATGAACAACAAGCATTATGTCCTGTTTCACTTCAGACAGGCTTTTGCTGCAATCTTCATAATTTTCCAGCAAAATACAAATGTTATTTCCATGCTGGATCACCAGATCAAACCGATATACCAAAAATGATTAAAAAGCCTATGTAGAAAGCACTTGGCTCCCTGTTTCTGCTATAAACTAATGATGGTTAACGATTTTTTGTGGTATTGCAATTTGGCGATGTCATTGCATTTTTGTAATTCGTTTTCATCTGTTCAACTAATGGCTTCTAGCTAATTAAATCAAATTGGTCAAAATGTTGAAAACCAATGTGGTCACTTTTCCTTCAGCTACCTCTTTATGTAGGTGATAATTTCCTTTGGAGCATTAGCTGAATAACAACTCTCATCTCTATTTCAACTTTAGAGCAAATAAGCATTCTCTTGTCCATTCAAGGATACATTTTTTTTCTTTTTGAATTTTTGACACACTGAAACAGCACATTACAAATAAAATATACTGTACTATGCTGCATTACTAACTTACTTACATAGCAAACACTTGTCTTTCCCCCCCAATTGGCACAATTCCCTTGGTAAACCCTTGTTTGAAATGCTGCCAGTGTTCCTCTTTTTTAATTAGGTCCCATATTTTAAAAAATTAGGTCTCAATTTTTTGAATTCAGTTCCTACCTAGCCCAAAGCTCTCACCCTTAGAAACATGGGTCAGGAAGGGGAGCATGAGAAACACAAGGCCTTTTCAATTGCGATGCTGAGTTTTGGAGACTTCCTGTCAGTGAGTGAAAAGCCGCAGATGGTATGATTTTTACTTTCTTCAAGTTACTGACATGTTGTTGTGGAAACAACAGCAGAGCCTAGAAACTCCTTTAACACATTTTTCTTAGCTTCTATATCTCCCTTTTATCTCATCTCTTGACAGTTGTTATTAACTGTTGTCAAGTTGAGCTTGACTTATGGAAACCCTCCAAATGAAAGACTTTTGTTATTAACCACCTAGATTAGATTCTGCAGACTGGAGGCTGGGGCTTCCATGACGAGGTTTATCCACATGTAACGCCTCTCTTCCTATTGTCCTCCTCCTCCTCCTCTTCCTCCTCCTCCTCCTCCTCCTCCTCCTTCTTCTTCTTCCTTGTCCTCGTCCTCATCCTCATCCTCCTCCTCCTACTCCTAGCGTTTGTCCCACAAATTCGTAGGGCCTGCTTTGCATTGGCTTTGTTTTGGGCATTCCTAAAAAAAAAACCCTTTGTGGTTTTGTCAGGTTGATGCAACTGTTTGTACTGCAGCTGGCCCATTGCATCGCCTATTACTGCAGTCCATTGCCCCATTCAGGCATGTAGCCGGGGGGGGGGGGCTTGGGGGGCTTCAGCCCCCCCCCCGAAATTCTCATGGTGGTTCGCGAAAAGGCCTTACTGGTGCATTATTTAAAATGTTATGTTTATTCATATCATGATCTGATCACCATACTCAATATATCCCATATGCATGGGGGTATTGGGGTAATGATACAAAAGGTTTGCTAGGCTAGACCCTCTTTCACTCAGACTCAGCCCCCCGAAACTCAGCCCCCCCGAACCCCCCCCTGAAAAAAATCCCCCCCCCCCCCGAAACGAAATCCTGACTACCGGCCTGGCCCCATTGGTTGGTTATTCAGCCAGCACCACTAGGAGGTGGGGTCAGATTTTTGCCAACCCTATTGTTGTTTTCATCAATTATTATTGCCTTATAATGGGTTGATTCGAGTCATTAGATACGTTCAAAGTATGATATCTTCCATTTTGGCTTCTGGTGAAGGTAAATGCTTGTCTTGTTTCTCATTAGCCTAGTAGTTAGCCAAGTTGACCAAATGAAATGGACCATTTTACAAACCAATGCACAAAAACTTAACTAAATTAGTACCCTCTATAATGTTGTAATACCATAAGTTCCAGACAGCACAGCTAATGTTTGGGAAATGATCAATCATTTCCTGTGGAAACCAAAAGGATAATGAAATAGAGGTAGTGCCAAGACACCCCTGAAAACCAGAAATCTCCAGGGGAGAAAACCACAAGAAAGGCTATCCATTTCACATTTTGCAGACGTCTTGGCAAGTTGCCATGAATCCCTTTGGGGAGAGAGGGTGAGTTATAAATAAATAATTATTGTTGTTGTTGTTGTTGTTGTTGTTGTTGTTTTACAGCAAACGAGATCTATATGCTGGATTTCGTATCACAAAATCACAAGTGGAACACTTCCCAAGTGTCTAGGACTGTGTGATGTATTTTCGAATGATGCGTGCAGATCCAAGTAAGGTGGCCTTTTGCAGTTGACAGATCATGATTTTGTCGATGTTTATTGTTTCCAAATGCCGGCTGAGATCTTTTGGCATGACGCCCAGTTTGCCAATGACCACTGGGACTACCTGTACTGGTTTATGCCAGAGCCTTTGCAGTTCAATTTTGAGGTCTTGATAGCAGCTGAGTTTTTCCTGTTGTTTTTCCTCAATGCAGCTGTCACCTGATATGGCGACATCAATAATCCAGACTTTTTTCTTTTCCACAATTGTGATGTCTGGTGTATTGTGTTCCAAAACTTTGTCAGTCTGGATTCGAAAGTTCCACAGTAGTTTTGCATGATCATTTTCCACAACCTTATGATCCCACCAATTCTTTACTGCTGGCAGGTGGTACTTGTGACATAAGTTCCGATGAATCATTTGGACTACAGAGTTGCGCCTCTGTTTGTAGTCTGTCTGTGTGATTTTCTTGAAACAACTGAGGATATGGTCCATGGTTTCATCAGCTTCCTTGCACAGTCTGCATTTTGGGCCATCTGCTAAATTTTCGATTCTTATTTTGATGATGATGATGATGATGATGATGATGATGATGATGATTATTATTATTATTATTATCATCATCATCATCTGGCTGCTACCAAAAATAAAACACTAACCAAAATGGCCCATTGGCCTGTCCTGATAAGCCAAGTTCTACATTCTTACATTTCCAGTATAATGTATCTCTAATTGGAGGGCTTGACACTTTCACTTCCTGGGTGTCTACAAGGGGCTTTAACCCTTAAATCTCCACAAATTTAGTTACGCATTTTAATTTAGGCCCCTAGGCACATATCCTACTAGTCAGGAAGATGTTTAGTGCAATTTTAAAGACCACGCTTATTTTGTGCCAGGCTTTGGTGTTTTTAGCCAATGAATTATTGTATGTATTCTATTCATGCATAAGTCTAGAAATTTTGGTTAAAAAAATCATCCCAAAATACTTGGGTCAGCTTACCCATGGATCACTGTAAACACTGTACCTTAGCTGCATCTCTCAGTAGAGTGGGCAAAGGCGACAGCATCACCCCATTCTAACATCTTGACACTTCTTTGAGGAAAAGTACAAAAGAGCCTCTTTCCGCTGCCATTGTCAAAAAAGTCAGAAGAGGCACTGCAGTAGAGAGAGTAGAGAGGGCTGTTGTAAGTTCACCCAAGCTCTCACTTTTCCGTACTCTTCTCAGAGAAGGAGATGGTTCCTTTTTTAATAAAGGTCAAAACTATGTCTTAACATTTATCAAGAAAGGAACCACACACATTTCTGAGTAAAATAATAAAAGTTCAGTGGTTGGTGGTGGCTGGCTCCAAGAGGACGGTGGGACTTTCCCCTCCCCACAGAAAGTTCCCAGATTTTGTTTCTATTCTTTCTGATTTTATTTTGGAGCTCCACATATTGTTGTTCATTCGTTCAGTCGTCTCCGACTCTTCGTGACCTCATGGACCAGCCCACACCAGAGCTCCCTGTCGGCCATCACCACCCCCAGCTCCTTCAAGGTCAGTCCAGTCACTTCAAGGATGCCATCCATCCATCTTGCCCTTGGTCGGCCCCTCTTCCTTTTGCCTTCCACTTTCCCCAGCATAATTGTCTTCTCTAGGCTTTGCTGTCTCCTCATGATGTGGCCAAAGTACTTCAACGTTGTCTCTAGTATCCTTCCCTCCAGTGAGCAGCCGAGCTTTATTTCCTGGTGGATGGACTGGTTGGATCTTCTCATGGTCCAAGGCACTCTCAGAATTTTCCTCCAGCACCACAGTTCAAAAGCATCTATCTTCCTTCACTCAGCCTTCCTTATGGTCCACCTCTCACATCCATAGGTTACTACTCAGAGGTTGTGAGGTCTGTTGGAATCTAGGCAAGTGAGATTTATATATACATTCCACAGATATATAAACCTCACTTGCCTAGTTTTCAACAAGCCTCACAACCTCTGAGGGTGCCTGCCATAGTTGTGAGTGCAACGTCAGGAGAGAATGCTTCTGGAACATGGCCATACAGCCCAGAAAGCTCACAGCAACCCAACTTGTCAATGTTATGATAAAGTTGGAGGTTTCAGAAAATGCCAATGCATTTTGGTCTCCTTCATTCCATGTAAATTTGATGGATTTCTCCTGTATTCTTCTTTAGTGCTGAAGATCAAAATGCGAGACATCTGCACTAGGAGCATGCACAGCAGTATTGTAATGCTTCTGTGAATTAAGCTCACAAAGCACTATGCAAATTTGCCCCTCTCTGGAAAAAATATCTGTTGCTCCTGATAAATACTGAAGAAAACTCAGATAATACTTTAATCTATTTTTCTTGTTTTTATGTTACACTATGGAGAATACCAGATCAGGGAACATGAGGAGATAGAAACCACAAAAAGGGAGGTGCTTGTGGGAAAAGGGTGTTGACCTGATTTTTTTAAAGCAGCTTCCTTCCTTGTTATAGTAAGTGCTAAAAAAAACCCCAAAAGTAATATTTAAAAATTCCCTTTCCCATCTGAAATTCACATTTGAAAAGCGACAAAACACTAGTCTAGTCAACAAATACCATGGGATTCCTGTGCTTTGTGTAGTTCTTTGATTAGCTCATGTATTTATTGCTGTTTTGAAGACATGCTCCCCCAAGCTGTACAATACCTTTGTTTGTTGTAGCATGTGGTTGTCTTCACCTGGGCATTTTGCATTCAATGTGTTTTTGTGTTACAGTCCATCATTGATAGGTAGACGTGGATTCAGTTAGCAAGTCTGATTTCTGAGGCACTTAACTCTGAGGAAATCTACTTGTGGGAGGAAAACCAATTTATTATAAGAAATACACACTCTCCTTATTGTCTAGTTTGACACTCTGAGGTGCAGTTTAGCCTGTAAATGCTACAATGACTTGCAGACTTAGGTGTTTTTGGTTCTGTCAGGGTTCCTGTGCAGCAAGACAAGCTGGAAATCAAGTGTCCCATTGCCATATTTCGGTAATTTTGAGAAGAGCCCTAGCTGGCAAATTCACAGCAGCCCAAAGTACACTGCTTGACCATTAATTTTGAAAGTGTTGTCTCACTTTTCTGCTGGTCTTTATGACTCCTGTTTTCCTATATTTACTCATTTTTTGTCTTCACAGGTTTTGCAGAAACTGGGGAAAACTGTTGAAACAAAAGATGAACAGTTTGAACAATATGCATACAACTTCCAACAGCAGCAGGTTGTTTATCAAAGAATGACTGGGGGGCTGGCATTTGGCATATGGGGCATATAACACATAGTCTATTCTATGTTTTTCTCACAGAATTGGAAATACTTTTCAACTAAATGTTTACTTAGGATTCTGAGGTCCACATTAGACATACTAGACCAGTGGTTCTCAACCTCCCAAGTACCACGACCCCTTAATAGAGTTCCTCGTGGTAGTGACCCCCAACCATAACATTATTTTCATTGCTACTTCACAACTGTAATTTATGCAGGATGTATTTTCATTCACTGGACCAAATTTGGCACATAGACCCGATACGCCCAAATTCAAATACTGGTGGGATTGGGGGGGGGTGGGCGGGGATTGATTCCATCATTTGGGAGTTGTAGTTGCTGGAATTTATAGTTCATCTGCAATCAAAGAGCATTCTGAACTCCACCAATGATAGAACTGAACCAAACGTGGCACACAGAACTCCCAGAACCAACAGAAAATACTCGAAAGGTTTGGTGGGCATTGACCTTGAGTTTTGAAGTTGAACCCGGCTTTTGCGCTTTCTTCTTTCACCTTGATTAGAAGGCTCCTCAGCTCCTCCTCGCTTTCGGCCATCAGAGTGGTGTCATCTGCATATCTGAGGTTGTTAATGTTTCAGCAATTTTCACCCCAGCTTTGCATTCATCCAGCCCTGCACATCGCATGATGTGTTCTGCATACAAGTTAAAAAGGTTGGGTGAGAGTATGCAGCCTTGCCGTACGCCTTTCCCAATCTTGAACCAGTCTGTTGTTCCGTGGTCAGTTCTGACTGTTGCTCCTTGGTCCTTGTACAGATTCCTCAGGAGAGAGACAAGGTGGCTTGGGATGCCCATCCCACTAAGAACTTGCCACAATTTATTATGATCCACACAGTCAAAGGCTTTAGAAGAGTCAATGAAGCAGAAGTAGATGTTTTTCTGAAACTCCCTGCCTTTCTCCATTATCCAGCGGATATTGGCAATTTGGTCTCTCGTTCCTCTACCTTTTCTAAACCCAGCTTGAACATCTGGCAACTCTCGCTCCATGTATTGCTGGAGTCTTCCTTGCAGGATCTTGAGCATTACCTTACTGGCATGAGAAATAAGGGCCACTGTACAGAAGTTTGAGCAGTCTTTCGCATTTCCCTTTTTTGGTATGGGGATCTAAGTTGATTTTTTCCAGTCTGATGGCCATTCTTGTGTTTTCCATATTTGCTGGCAAATGGCATGCATCACCTTGACAGCATCATCTTTTAAGATTTTAAACAGTTCAGCTGGGATCCCGTCATCTCCTGCTGCCTTGTTGTTAGCAATGCTTCTTAAGGCCCATTCAACCTCACTCCTCAGGATGTCTGGTTCTAATTCATTCACCACACCGTCAAAACTATCCTCAATATTATTATCCTTCCTATACAGATCTTCTGTATAGTCTCGCCACCTTCTCTTGATCTCTTCAGCTTCTCCCAAGAGCACTGTGGACTCAAAACAATGATGGATCTGGACCAAACTTGCCATGAAAATCAATATGTCCAAATGTGAACTTTGGTGGAGTGTAGGGAAAATAGACTTGGCATTTGGGAGTTGTAGTTGCTGGGATTTATTGTTCACCTACAATTGAAGAACATTCTGAACCTCACCAAGGTTAGAATTGGGCCAAACTTCCCACACAAAACCCCCATTACAAACAGAAAATACTGTTTTCGGATGGTCTTTGGTGACCCCTCTGACACCCCCTCACGACCCCTACAGGGGTCCCGACCCCCAGGTTGAGAAACACTGTACTAGACCAAGGCTGGTAGTCCTAAATGATTGTGCTATACCCTCCTCTAAGAAATTGCTGACACTGAATTTGTTATCACAACACATCTTCTGTTTAGCCCACAGGAGTCCAAAATAATTTTACCAAAGGAAAGAATAAAAGATGCTAAAGGAATTAGTGAGATAGAAATGCTCCGTATGTTCAAGTAACATCAACTACAGATTGAGTCTCCCTTATTTGAAAAACTTGGAATCAGGATTTTTTTAAAAAAAAATGTAATACCTGTATTTGCGTTTACATACATGTACTCAGATGTCTTGGAGATACTGTAGTTCCCCAGTCTAAAGTTTTGTCTTAGCTCTTAATATGCTCACAAATTGATACCTTTGCTAAAGCTTTTCCTCATGTCTTCCTGGGTCTTCCCTGTTCTTACACCAAACTCTGCATTTATAAGAATGGGACAGGAATCCTGAGTGTAGTCATTTTAATAGACACACATCCAATGGGTCATCAATAGGTTTAGAGTTATCACACCTGTTGAGACTCTGGTTGCCAAATTCATGTTCTTTTCATTGAGAGAAAAAGGGAGAAAAGAGCCAGTCTGAAATTATTCTGATATTATAATGCTGTTTCTCCAAATTGTACACAATTTAACAGCTTGTATACACACACCTTTTAGTATTTGCAGTACAGCCAATGGGTTGAAGATGGATTTCTATCTGTGCATCTGAAGAAGTGAGTTGAAATCCATAAAAATCCATGGTTTGCTGATTATAGAAGCTGATTAAGGCCCATTCTACACTGCCATATAAAATCAAGTTTATCTGCTTTGAACTGGATTATATGACAGTGGAGACTCATATAATCCAGTTCAAATCAGATAATGTGGATTATCTGCTTTGATAATCTGGATTATATGGCAGTTTAGAAGGGGTTTAACTCATTAATGTATGTTTCACATATACCTTATGCCAGGGGTCCTCAAACTTTTTAAGCAGAGGGCCAGGTCACAGTCCCCCAAACTGTTGGAGGGCCAGATTATAATTTGGGGAAAAAAATGAATGAATTCCTATGCACACTGAACATATCTTATTTGTAGTGCAAAAAACACTTAAAACAATACAATAATTAAAAGAACAATTTTAACAAATATAAACTTATTAGTATTTCAATGGGAAGCGTGGGCCTGATTTTGGCTGATGAGATAGGATTGTTATATATAGGTAAAGGTAAAGGTAGTCCCCTGACATTAAGTCCAGTCATGTCTGACTCTGGGGTGTGGTGCTCATCTCCATTTCTAAGCCGAAGAGCCAGCGTTGTCCATAGACACCTCCAAGGTCATGTGGCCAGCATGACTGAATGGAGCGCCGTTACCTTCCCACCGGAGCGGTACCTATTGATCTACTCACATTTGCATGTTTTCGAAACTGCTAGGTTGGCAGAAGCTAGGGCTGACAGCGGAAGCTCACGCCGCTCCCCGGAATCGAACCTGCAACCTTTCGATCAACAAGCTCAGCAGCTCAGTGCTTTAACCCACTGCGCCACCGGGGGCTCCATATACAACATTGTTGTTGTATGCTTTCAAGTCATTTCAGACTTAGGATGACCCTGAGCGAGGGCCGGGTAAATGACCTTGGAGGGCCGTATTCGGCCCTCAGGCCTTAGTTTGAGGACCCCTGCCTTATACACTCAGTCTGAAGGTAATTTTATACAACGTATGTTAATGATGTTATGTATGAAACAAAGTTTGTGTATACTGAACAATCTCAGCCATTGGGAAGTATAAGTGTTGCTATCTCAGCCACCCATGTAGACAATTTTGGGTTTTGGAGTATTTTGGATTTTGACATTCCAGATGAGGGATACTCAGCCAGTACATACACCAAATGTAGCGTGCTTGGCTTGGCAATGGCTTCGTTGACTCTTCTCAGTATGGGGTGATGTAGGCAGGAGAGTCAACTCAGCCCCCCTAAAGAGACTAATGAAAACAATATGCTGGAGTGTACAAGAGCACACATCTGACCCTATTGTTTTCTTCTTTCTTTCTTTCTTTCTTTCTTTCTTTCTTTCTTTCTTTCTTTCTTTCTTTCTTTCTTTCTTTCTTTCTTTTTCCAGATTGAAGGTCACAAACTCTACAAGGAGCTGAAGGTTTTCCTCAGTGCTGTCAAAGGTACTTTGCTTAGATGACTCCATTGTGTTCTAAAAAGTGGTGGCAATAAAGATATTAAAGAGAGGAGACAGGAGGCATTTGAAGATAATCTTCTGCTTCTGAATTCATGCAAAGATTGGAAAATTTCCAGCTAGAGATTTTGTTAGAATTTGTGTTTTTTATTGAAATTATATGGTCTGAAGAGCAATAGCTGTTGACACTTAAGGTACCATGCTTAATGACATCACTAAATCCATATGGCCAAGCAACATCAGAGAATAATCAATACACAAACATAATCAGTGAGGAAAAACACATTAGGAGAGGCTGCAGCAGTTTGCTTTGATCTGAGCCTATTGGGAAAGGTGAGGTTTCACTCCTCCCTCATCTCCCTCCAATGAGTTAATTGAGTGCAATCTACTACTTGAACTGCTTGCAAGAAATGAAGTAAACTGAGGGCAAAAGGGGAAGTGGGAATAGAGAGAAACTGGAATATTTTTTAAAGCTGGAAAGGGTGAAACAACAGAGAATTAACTGTGACAGTCCCTGCCAAATCAGGACAGTTGGAGGGTATGTATCACTCAAGGAATTCCAGTGTTGAAATGTGACTTGAATGTGGGTCTTGGAGGTTTTAAATCCAACCCAATTCCATTCTAGCTGTTTTCCATGAATGCCTCAGTTTAGACATATCATAAGACTCTGAACTCCGGGGGCCCTTGTCCAGGGAAGTCGTGCTGTCCCTCTATTCTGCCTTGGTCAGACCACACCTGGAATACTGTGTCCAATTCTGGGCACCTCAATTGAAGGGAGATGTTGACAAGCTGGAATGTGTCCAGAGGAGGGCGACTAAAATGATCAAGGGTCTGGAGAACAAGCCCCATGAGAAGCGGCTTATAGAACTGGGCATGTTTAGCCTCAGAAGAGAAGGCTGAGAGGAGACATGATGAAGGCCATGTATAAATATGTGAGAGGAAGTCATAGAGAGGAGGGAGCAAGCTTGTTTTCTGCTACCCTGAAGATCAGGGCACAATGGAACAATGGCTTCAAACTACAGGAAAGGAGATTCCACCTGAACATGAGGAAGAGCTTCCTGACTGTGAGAGCTGTTCACCAGTGGAACCCTCTGCCCCGGAGTGTGGTGGGGGCTCCTTCTTTGGAGGCTTTTAAGCAGAGGCTGGATGGCCACCTGTCAGGGTGCTTTGAATGCGATTTTCCTGCTTCTTGGCAGGGGGTTGGACTGGATAGCCCACAAGATCTCGTCCAACTCTATGACTCTATGATTGTGATGGCAAAATTGGAAGGTACAATATGGAATTATTGCTAACAACCATCTTCCACTAAAACACAGCATTATAGAAGTGAAACACTTTTGCTATGCAAAAGTCTGGAAAAAAGAAGAGATACCGGACGAGGATGACTGAATGATGAAAATTGCAGAGATTAGAAAAATGGATAGACTGACATATCTAATAGCGAAAAATAAAGGAACGCCAATAAAAGAGACGGATTGGACAAAGGTGACAGAATATCTGAAATATAAGAATAGAAATATAGAAAGAAGAGAGGAAAATGTGAAGGATATAAAGATAAAAGAAGGAAAAGAAAGAATCCATGTGGAAGATACCTAGGAAGTCAAAAATATTGTGTGTGTGTGTATCTATATAAATAAAAATGTAATGTTCATTTGCGGGATTAACATAACTCAAAAACCACTGGACGAATTGACACCAAATTTGGACACAATACACATATCAGACCAACAAGTGACCATCACTCATAAAAACATTGAAAAGCACAGCAGAAGAGACTTAAAAGGCCAAAAAACAAAAAATACATTACAACACATTCACAAAACCACATATATATATATATATGTTGTTGTTGTTGTTCATTAGTTCAGTCGTCTCCGACTCTTCGTGACCTCATGGACCAGCCCACGCCAGAGCTCCCTGCCGGCCGTCACCACCCCCAGCTCCTTCAAGGTCAGTCCAGTCACTTCAAGGATGCCACCCATCCATCTTGCCCTTGGTCAGCCCCTCTTCCTTTTACCTTCCACTTTCCCCAGCATAATTGTCTTCTCTAGGCTTTGCTGTCTCCTCATGATGTGGCCAAAGTACTTCAACTTTGTCACATATATATACGCAAACAGATATACACATATATACACACACAAAACACATATACACAGACTGGGCCATAGCAATGCGTGGCAGGGGATGGTTAGTGTGTGTGTGTGTGTGTGTGTGTGTAATTTTTCTTTTTTCTCTTTTTTCTTCTCTCCTCTCTTTTTTTCTCTTTCCCTTTTTTCTTTTCTTTTTTCCCCTCTCTCATTTTCTTTTAAAGTATACATATATATTGCTTTGTTTTTTAAGAAAACTCTCAATAAAGTTTATGTTTTTAAAAAAGAAGTGAGACACTTACATGGGGAGGAGAATCCAGTATGGAAGGTGAAAATGTGGACTCCTCTACATATGGAAACCATCCTCTACATATGGAATGATTAGGGGAAAGGAGGAAGAAGACGCATGAAAGAAAATGAACTCAGGCCTGAGGATATGCATCTATGTATTTCTCAAGTTTGAGTTCGTTTTCCTAGGTTCACAGGTTGCACAAAATCCACAAAACGCCTTTATTGGGCCAACCAAAACCACATAAAATACATAATGTAATCATAACATACATATAATGCTCATAAAATACATCATGCAAACTTTTGAAGCTTCACTTGCTTCTTCATCAGGCAAAGCTGTTGAAAACTGCATAACCTGAGAATGTGTATCTTCAAGACAAGGAAGCAGCAGAGCAGACAATGAAAAGGGGGTAATAATAGTATAAGAAACCCCAAGTAGCAACCTTTATCTCTACTGCCTCCTTGTGGCACATCACTATCCCTTCACTTTCAGTAGCTTTGAGGCAGAAAATGTGTACCCAAGCCTAGAGGAAGCTCTGTAGTTTCATAGTATAATTACAATATATACTTCCTGGCTTATTTCCATGTTTACCATAGCCAGGAGGTTATTATCAAGATACCATCATCAGAAATTGCTTCCAAGAAAGGAGAGTCGAGTACCATGGTTTGAAACATAGATGTGCTATTGAGTCCTTCCAGATGTGAACTGTTAGTTTAGTTAGGCGATCCCTCGTTGTCCAAGTATGATGGCCTTCTAAGTGTAGTGTCTTGGTGGTGGATACGTATGTGACTGTGAAGCCCCATTCTTGACCCGCATATTCTCCCACAGTGAGGAAATTGGTTTCCAGGTGAAAGGCGGTCCCGATTAGGGTTGGCCTTATGCGCCTCCTGCTTGGCACGTTTCTTCCATTCGTACCTCTTCAAATTTCAGTTAGGGCGCTCAAGGGCCAGTTCTTCCCAGTTCCCAGTGTCTATGCCACAGTTTTAAATGTTGGCTTTAAACCCATCTTTACATCTCTTTTCCTGACCACCAACATTCTGTTTCCTGTTCTTGAGTTCGTAGTACAGTAATTGCTTTGGGAGATGATGATCAGGCATTTGGACAATGTGGCTAGTCCAGCAGAGTTTGTAGGAGCATTGCTTCAATGCTTGGTGGTCTTTGTTCCTTCCAGCACGCTGACATTTGTCCACCTGTCTTCCTAAGAGATTTGCAGGATTTGGGGGCAGGGAGCAATGCTGATGGAATTGTTTCAGGAGTTGAGTGTGATGTCTGTACACAGTCCATGTTTCACAGGCGTATAGCAGGATTGGGAGGTCTCCTTCATTTGGAAAAATGTTGCACTCGCAGAGCTCAGGTGGTTGCATTTCAGTGTCAATGTTGACTTTTGTGGAGAGCTGGCTGCCAAGGTAGCGGAAATGATCAAGATTTTTTAATGTTCAACATTAAGCTGTATTTCTGGCATTGCAGAAGGATTGGCTGGTGACTGCTGGAAGAGCACTTTGGTTTTCTCAATATTCAGTGAGAGGCCAAACTTCTCATATGCTTCTGCAAAGGTGTTTAGAGTGGTTTGTAGGTCTTCTTCTGAATGTGCACAGACTACGGTATCATCAGCATATTGGAGTTCATTAACAGATGTTGTTGTGACTACGGCTCCTATCATCACTCATGATGGCTGCACTAGCCAAGCTGATGGGAATTGTAGATATTGTCTGACCAGGAATATTGCTTGTAAACCCCCCCCCCCCCCCCCCCCAATTTTCCTCTTATAGTGATGCATGAAACCTCCAAGAAGTTGTCTGAAACTCTACAAGAAATTTACAGTGAGGAGTGGGATGGATATGAAGACTTGAAAGCCATAGTGCAGGTGAGTGTCACACATCTTTGTTATTGCTTTTATCAAGGATATTTTGGGGGTGAAAATATATTTCAATAATTTTCACAGCAACCCTGTAAGTTGTCCAGGATTGCCACCTCTATGTGCAAAAAGAGTTGAGTCTATAGTGGTAAAATCAGAACCACAACCTTCCCTGGCTCTCAATATTTCATTGCCCTTAAGTTATCCCACTGAAGTACTTTTCATTTCAATAGTTCTTCTCTCTTCCTTGGTAATTGCACTTCTGTGAAAGTAGAATTAGGTAAGTATGCTAACAGTAATGTATGTGATGCTTCATTAGACTCAAGGATTGTTTGAATCTAATGAAGCATGACATACATTACTGTTAGCATACTTATCTAATTCTTCATTAGATTCAAGGATTGCAAATTGCCAACTGTAGTGGAGCCCTGGCGGTGGAGTGGGTTAAACTGCTGAGCTGCTGAACTTGTTAACCGAAAGGTTGGCAGTTCAAATCCAGAGAGCAGGGTGAGCTCTCACTGTTAGCAACAGCTTCTGCCAATGTAGCAGTTTGAAAACAAACAAATGTGAGTAGATCAATATGTACCATTCTGGCGGGAAGGTAATGGCGCTCCATGCAATCATGCTGTCCATATGATCTTGAAGGCGTCTATGGACAACTCTGGCTCTTCAGCTTAGAAGTGGAGATGAGCCCCACCCCTCAGAGTCGTACACGACTAGACTTAACATCAAGTAGAAACCTTTAACTTTACTAGTGGTGAAACTGAGGCAGGGGGTGCAAAATGAAGACAATATCTGTCAGCAAAAATTCTGCATCCCCAATGAAAATGTTCTTGCATTCCCAAATTTCTAACATTACAAAAATATAAAACTTCAACTGAGCATTTAGAAATGCGGCTGAAGCATGCAAAAAGAAAAAGGAGGCAGCCAAAGGGATTTTTTTGTGTGTGTCAGGAGCAACTTGAGAAACTGCAAGTTGCTTCTGGTGTGAGAGAATTGGCCATCTGCAAGGATGTTGCCCAGGGGCGCCCGGATGTTTTGATGTTTTACCATCCTTGTGGGAGGCTTTTGTCATGTCAGCTGGAGCTGACAGAGGGAGCTCATCCACACTCTCCCCAGGTTCGAACCTCCGACCTGTCGGTCTTCAGTCCTGCAGGCACAAAGCCACTGCACCACCGGGACTCCTAGCCAAAGGGTTGTGAACATAGCAAATATATAAGAGGAGAATGATTTTCAGTTTCCCATTCTCTACAATGTTAAGGAAACATGTATTAGGAGTTAGAATTCTTATGGAGAGGGCAATGTCTAGCCTTGGCTGGTTGAATATAAGAAGTAAAAGAAACACCAATTACTTTGATTTTCCAGCTCTTGGAAAAACACAGGGGTCCTCGCTTTTGAATGGAGCTGCAGGGAGGAGGGTGATGTGCAATCTTTTACTTTGTACCCCTTTCTCCTCCCTCCATCCTCACATCCCAGCCTGCTATTAAGTCTTCCAGGGAAAGTATGCAAGCACAATGCTGGCAATTGTTAATCTGTCCTCTCTTATCTCCAGCCAGAAAGCAATGACACAGCTTGAAAATGTAATCCTGAAATGCTGGGCAAAGAAGGGCTGAAGAAGGGCTGAACCTAGGGAAACAAGGGGAACTAGTGTGTCAATGTTGCCTAAGCACTAATATATGTGTATGTAGCTTCTGAGCACTGTTTTGAAAAGTTTCTGTGTGTCTAATCTTCAGAGCAATGACCTTTTATGGGAAGACTATGAAGAGAAGTTGGCCGACCAGGCCGTCAGGACCATGGAGAATTACTTGACTCAGTTCAGTGAAATTAAGGTATGCATATTCAGGGCAGACAGCAAATATTCAATATACAAAGGAATGTGACGCATTGAGAAAGTCAGCTTTGGATTTGAAATGCTGTTGTGAAAAGAAGTTTTTTCCCCCTCCTAGATCAAAGTTTTCAAGATACTTTATGTTGGTGATACACTTTTTAGACAAGCATCATTTAGCAACACAGTAATTTGGTTTTACTAGCAAACCGGACATTCAACCAACCCATTCTAAGAAATACAGAAACATACATGAATTACATGGGGATATAATATATCTCATAAACACCTTTCTTTAAAATTTGTAAACATATACGATATGTAAGATACATACATTTCCAATATGTTTGTTATTTATGACTAACAATATGTTTCTAACATTAACATTAATAATAACGTCAGCACCTTTGCTGCATAAAAATGCATACAAGTTGGCATTCGTTCACATAAGCCTCAGAGATTTATTGTGAGTTTTCCAGGTTGTATGGCCATGTTCCAGAAGCATTCTCTCCTGACATTTTGCCCACATCTATGGCAGGCATCCTCAAAGGTTGTGAGGTCTGTTGGAAACAATGATAATAATAATAATAATAATAATAATAATAATAATAATAATAATAATAATCTTTAGTTGTACCCCGCCACCATCTCCCTAAAGGGGACTCGGAGCGGCTTACATGGGGCCAAGCCCGAACAAGAATTACAATATAACAATACAAATTGCAATCAAATAAACAACATAACATTAAAATATAAAACATCCAAGCATATAAAACAATATACACAAAACATAGGAACTAAGCATAATGACAGAAAGACCAAGGGTGGGCCGCATGTACATAAAATGATTTTAAAAACTCTGGGTGAGATAAGGAGGGAGAACTAATTGTAAGGGCGAACTCATAGAGAGATAGGAAATTAAGCCAACCTTCATATTGGGGGGGGGGGCTCCTGGGACAAGAACATTGGAGGAGCACTAGCATAACATTATGTAAAATCAGTATCAAAAAGTCTAAAATCAGGATAGTAATAAAGAACAACACTCATAAAACAGGGGAATTCCAGACAGGAAACAATCAGGGCCAGCTAACATCTCCCAACAAAGGATTCCCCTGGCAGGAAGCAGCCAGGCTTTGAAGCTGCAAGGCTATTCAATGACATTCACAGTGGCCAATTGCAACATTCACACTTGCCTCCAGCAGACAAGAGTTTTTTCTCCCACCCTGGACCTTCCACAGATATATAAACCCCACTTGCCTAGTTTCCAACAGACCTCATAACCTCTGAGCATGCCTGCCATAGATGTGGCCAAAACGTCAGGAGAGAATGCTTCTGGAAAATGGCCATACAACCCAGAAAACTCACAGCAACCCAGTGATTCCGTCCATAAATGCCTTTGACAACACACTCAGAGGTTTCTCATTCCATTTAAGTGATACACATGGCAAGCAACACAATTTGGAAAGCTTTGTCCTAGATCTTCATTTTTAAAAAATGCTCACAAATTAATCCCTTTGCCAAAGCATTTCCTTGTGTCTTTCTGGGTCTTCCATGTTCTTACACCTTACTGTTTATTTATAGAACTTGAACCCTGTGTATATTCGTTTTAATATACAAACATTGAGAAGCTGGTTGCCAGATTTCATGCTCTCTATATTGAGTGGAAAAGGGAGCTGATTCTGGTTTTATGATACCGTTTCTGCACATTTTGCATGATTTGACAGCTTACATAGTATACATACATACATGGGTTATAATATTAGCAGTAAAGCCAGTGGGTTGAAGATTATATTCCATCAATGCATCTGAAGAAGTGAAAGGGCCAAGGCAATGACATTTCCAGCTCATCCCCTGTTTGGATATCAGCCAGCACGTCAATGACTTAAATAAAAAATTAGTTTTCTAAGATCTACAGAGACATTAGCTGGAACACCTCAGCAAGCGAGAGTCCAAAAGTGACAGGCTAAAACCTAGAACCTCAATCAATGGCTGATACCAAATGAGAGACACAGAAAACTGGGCGACTTGGAAGGTGCTGAACAGACTGCGCTCTGGCACCACGAGATGCAGAGCCAACCTTAAGAAATGGGGCTACAAAGAGGAATCCACGACATGTGAGTGTGGAGAAGAGCAAATCACTGACCACCTGCTGCAATGTAACCTGAGCCCTGCCACATGCACAATGGAGGACCTTCTTGCAGCAACACCAGAGGCACTCCAAGTGGCCAGATACTGGTCAAAGGACATTTAATCAACTACCAAGCTTACATTTCCATTATTTTACTCTATTATTATTATTATTATTATTATTATTATTATTATTACATTTATTACATTTATTATTTTACTCTTTTATTATTGTTACATGTATTACTTTACTCTATTATTACTGTTATTACATTTCCATTACTTTATTGTTTTTTATTGCACTTATTATTTTACTCTCTTTATTATTATTGGAAGGATACGTAAGCAGATTTACATGGAAGAAGATTAGAAGAATGTTTTGATCAGAGTTGGGCAGTCTTATCTTAAATTACAGTTTTCTATAAATACCCATAAACATTTAACCTACTGATGCCTCAGTTAATGTAATTTTATTGGTATCTATTTTTATTTTGAAATTTACCAGTAGCTGCTGCATTTCCCACCCTCGACTTATACGCGAGTCGATATGTTTTCCCAGTTTTTTGTGGCAAAATTAGGTGCCTGGTCTTATATTTGGGTTGGCTTATGCTCAAGTATATACGGTATTACGGGAAAAGCTGAATCTTGTAATTTTGTTTTCTGTGTAATAAGCTGTTTAGAGAGTCCTACCAATTTCATTTCATGGCTTATATTCTTTTATTACCCCACCTCAGCTTAGTTAACATTTGGAATGGTGCGGTTTAACTGTATTGCCTTTTCCTTTTTTCGGATCGGCTTATACTCAAGTATATATGGTACTCTCCATTTCATAGTGAAGTCTGCTCAAAAATGAATGTTCTGGTGATTTGAAAGCAAAACCCAGACCCAAGGCAGGTTACATCATCTTAAAAGCATCGTAACATAAAACCATCAGCTAAAAACAAAAAAATAAAATATCCAAGCATGCTCGACAGGATAATCCATATAAACAATAAAGGTAAAATCAATTAAATTTCCACCATACAACCATAAAGTGCTAGGATTCAAATAAAGACTATTTCAAACAGGAAAGTCTTAACCCCTTTTCTAAATGACATCAGGATGGGAGCCTATCTGACTTCAATATCAAGGCAGATAATCCACACTATCTGCTTTGAACTGGATTATCTGAGTCCACGTTGTCATATAATCTAGTTCAAAGCAGTGTAGAAGGGGCCTTAATCAGCTTCCTTGATTTTTATGGATTTCAATTCACTTCTTCAGATGCAGAGATAGAAATCCATCTTCAACCCATTGGCTGCACTGCAAATATTAAAAGGTGTGTACGCAAGCTGTTAAATCATGTAAAATTTGCAGAAATGGCATTATAAAATCAGAATAATCTCAGACTGGTTCTCTTCTCCTGTTTTTACTCAATGCAGAGAGCACGAAATGGTGATGAGTCTTAAAGGCTCATGCAGACTCATATAAAATGACACATTTTTCCAGATTGTTGTGTTTGGTATGTTGCATCTCATTTCATCTTTGGTATGTTGTGCTTCCTATAAGGAAAGAATAGCTAAGAGGGGGCGGAAAGTTGTGGATTACGATAGCAGCAGGCATCACTTGGAAGCCCTCCAGAATGCCAAGAAGAAGGATGAAGCTAAAACCGCAAAGGTATGAAGGCTATCTGGATCAAAGATCAGGTTTCTTAAAACTAGGAACGTTCTTCCCGTTAGATATCTAATTGTCCTTACCTGCCAGCTTCTACTGTCAGCTTGTCCTACAGTCTCCTACCAACATTATAAAATCCAGATAATCTGCTTTGGAGTGGATTATATGGCAGTGTAGACTCACACTGGATTATATGAGTCAGTTTGCAAGAACAGGAGAAAGCTGAGGACAAAAGGGAAAACTGGGAGGAGAAGGAGAGTGAAACTGGTCCATTTTAAAAGTGTCTGAAAAAGTGGGGTGACAGAGGGTTAATTGGGATTGTCCCTGCTGAATCAGGATGTTTGGAAGGGATTGGATGACATCCCACGGCCCCCACAATTTAAAACCAAATGATTGAAAAAAGGCACATCTTTTGCCAAATCTTCTTATGAAATTTTCCATGTATTTTGTGTTTAAATGAGAATATGACTACAATTGGCTTCAGACTTCTAATCCTTGAGGGGGGAGAGAGAGTATCTCTGGACCTAAAACAGACTGGATGGGTCACCTGGTAAAATTGTCCTTTGTAGATATTTGGCATGCATAGGAAACACAACTCAATTCCACAATTAATTGAACTCTATCTCTCTATAAAAATGCTCTGTGCATAATGAGTACCTTAAAAACAAAAGAACCAATGAACGAAATCATGCCAAATTTGGCAACAAAACGTCTCACAAAACAAGGAGTGACCATCACTCAAAAAATTATGATTTTGTCATTTGGGAGTTGTAGTCGCTGGGATTTATAGTTCACCTACAATCAAAGAGCATTCTGAACTCCATCAACGATGGAATTGAACCAAACTTGGCACACAGAACTCCCATGACCAACAGAAAATATTGGAAGGGTTTGGTGGGCATTGACCTTGAGTTTTGGAGTTGTAGTTCACCTACATCCAGAGAGCACTGTGGACTCAAACAATGATGGATCTGGACCAAACTTGGCACAAGCACTCAATACGCCAAATATGAATACAGATGGAGTTTGGGGGAAATAGACCTTGACATTTGGGAGTTGTAGTCACTGGGATTCACAGTTCACCTACAATCAAAGAGCGTTCTGAACCCCCCAAAACGACTGCAACTCCCAGATATTGTGGGATTTTCTGCCTTGATGTTCTGGGTTATATGACTGTGTGGAAGGGCCCTCAGTGTACTTTTAGAGATTCTCAGACCTTGGTAAAGACAATAAAATGTGTCAACAATCTGAGTTCTGAGTCTTTTTGCCTTGACTGTCCTGTTCGTGCTTCCTTCCCTTGAGCCTCTAACTGACTCTTTCTTGGTCCAACTGCAGGCTGAAGAGGAGTTCTACAAAGCTCAAGCTGTGTTTGAGGAACTCAACAAAGAGCTACGAGAGGAGCTGCCAGTCATTTACAACAGGTAACACCGACTCCAGGTCAAGCTGTTAATACAGAAGAAATTGCAGAAACTGAGATGTGAGGCTGTGACCAGGAGTTGCCTGTTAAGTCAACTTTTTTAGTAGCAATTTTTGGGGCTGGACTCAGGGTGGTTTCCAAGTAACATCACCAAAACATACAGAGTAAACAGCATGACATAAAATTAACAAAACAACATAAGCATAAAATTATCACAATAACACGTATATATTTAAAATAATCCTGCCTGTTCAGAGAAATTAAAAGGCCGGGCCGGGGCTAGTGCAAACCCAAAATATGAGGGGACCGGGAATGAAGTACAATGCTATAACAGGCTAACAGCAATAGCAGGTACGAGTCTGTGACTGCTCATTTCCAGGGCCTATTAGAGGGATGACCGGGGTAATAGATAGGAAGTATAAGGCCATATTCAACAATGTTTGGATGTTCTTAATCGCATTACCTGTACAACTTGTCTGCTACAGTGTAATAAGGGTCTCTGGACCTAAATAAAATTTATCTATAACAATGTTTGGGGCTGAGCTAGAACTGGTCATTCTTAAAGGCTTGTTGAAACCACCAGGTCTTCAAGCTCTTATGAAAGGAGGGGAGGGATGGGGCCTGTCTTCCTTCCAACCACACTTTCTTTGAGTAAAGATCAATTTCTTAGGATAGATCTACACTGCCCTCTATCCCAGGATCTGATGTTGAGACTCAACCCCACACTGCTCAAGTCTCAAGTCCTCAATGAGGAAGAAGTTAGTTAGCTTAGAGTAGGCTGAGGGTTTCCCTTCACCCATGTCTCCTGTATGACAGTTGGGAATGTATCTATTTGCTCTCTCTGTTTCTGCTCTCATTCTAATTAGTTGTGTAGAATGGATACTTATCTACTACAAGCCTTTACTTCTGAATTTAGCTTTATAATCTTTGAATGTGCTGTGTGCTTTGAGATCTCTCTCTGCATGTGTGTCAGGAGAGATGTAGTGCTTTGATGATTTTTCCCTCTCTTTGAAACCTTAGAAGAGATGGAGTACCGTTTGGAAGAGATGGATGTTAGAGTAGCTCAGACCCAATTCTTTATTATTAAGAAATACAGTTATTGATTAGTGTAAATAAACATTTTGTGATTTTTAAGATTGGACTCTGCATCTTTGCTGCCTAAGCTCTAGATTTTTTATAGCCACAAGCAACGGCACTTCATGCTTTGTTTGCTGTGAGCTGATTGCTCAACTTTTAGTATCCTGTTTATGTTTTCGGATGCTCTGCTATATTTTTGGATAGTTTTCCCTAACACTTTGAACTGGATTATATGAGTCTACGCTGCCAGATAATCTGGGATCAAATCCTGGGATATAAGGATAGTGTAGATCCAGCCTTAGGCAACTATCTTCATAGTCTATATTGTCAGACATTTCCTTTGCCTCTTGTCTTAGCTGTTTAGCCTATCTGCCACACAGCACACAAGTTCAATAAGGAAGGCAAAAGAATAAACTCTCCAAATCAGCATGTGATAGAAATTGCTACCTCAAACATCACACTCTTTTCAGCAGCACAGCTGGAAACAGTAATGTTTCGTAACCACAGGATGGCAGCAAAATCTAGGAAGCATTTTGGCTTTTCTTTTCTTCGGGGAACCAGTGGTAATGACTTGGTGTGGAATTAGATATAAGACATGGCTTTGCGTCAGAAGCTGCAATACTATAACCATTCATCCCTCCTTTTCCCTGAAGCACTCAGTTCCTAAAAATGGATGATGCAAACTTTTTCTGCACTTTGCTGGCCACTGCCACAGCAATCAATATTATGGTTCAATTAGTTAAAAGTCTTCCATTACACAGCCCAACAAAAAAAAATCTGTCTTGGTTTTTCGGCCTCTCTCTGGAGTTGTTTGGGCTGCTGAGTCAAAAAATGCATTGAATAGACTGCATCAGCCTAGTTTCTTGGGTATGCTTATCATGGTTTTCTATGTGCAAGCATATGAAGATTGGTAGATGGCATATGTTCAGTATCTAAAAACTAGAGCTAATGGGGGGGAACTGGTGCTATTATTTGGATCAGCAGGTCAAATATACCCAGAACTGCTTTCACATTTGAGGCACCAAAATGTGTGTTGGCCAGAGAGACATATTATGCTATATTAGTTCAGGGACAGATTCAAAATGGAAATTTGAAAACCCGGCTCAAATCCTTCATCCAGCCACAAAGTGGGCCAAGTCTTTTTCGAATAATAACCAACTCAGGCAGGAAACAATCAGGGCCAGCTAATGCTTCCCAACAAAGGATTCCCCCAGACAGGAAGCAGTCAGGCTTTGAAACTGCAAACCTATTCATTGATAACCAATCTGACCAATTGCAACATTCAAACAGACAAGAGGTCTTTCTCCCACCCTTATTATTATTTTATTGCATTCATTATTTTAGTCTACTATTATTACATTTACATTATTTTACTCTATTATTGTTATTATTACAGTTACATTATTTTACTCTATTATTATTATTTTATTACATTTACTCTATTATTATTCTTATTACATTTATTATTTTAGTCTATTATTATTGGAAAGATACGTAAGCACATTTACATTGAAGAAGGTTAGAATAATGATTTAATCAGAGTTGGGCAGTCTTATCTTAAATGACAGTTTTATGTAAATATTCAGAAACATTTAACCTACTGATGCCTCAATTAATGCAATTTTATTGGTGTCTATTTTCATTTTGAAATTTACCAGTAGCTGCTGTATTTCCCACCCTCAACTTATACTCGAGTCAAGATGTTTTCCCAGGTTTTTTGTGGTAAAAAAAGCTTATATTTGGGTCGGCTTATACTCGAGTATATACAGTATTACAGGAAAAGCTGCATTTTGTAATTTTGTTTTCTGTGTAATAGGCTGTTTAGAGCGTCCTACCAATTTCATTCATGGCTTATATTGCTTTGTTATTCTGTTACGCCACCTCAACTTGGTTAACATTTGGAATGGTGTGGTTTAACTGTATTACCTTTCCTTTTTTCCCAGCCGGATTGCGTGCTATGTAACAATATTCCAGAATATTTCCAATCTGCGAGATATATTCTACAAGGAAATGAGCAAGGTAAGGAAACCTCGGTGACAGATAAACTGGAATCTTGGGACTTTATAACACAAGGCTGGCAAAGAGGGATTTCAGCAGGATAAAAGCATCTTTGACAATATTAATTGCAAAACGTCTTGTTTGTCCTTTTGCTGGTAAAACTCAACACTGCCTCTCAATACTGCTGTCTTCCCATTGCTGAATTCTATGTAGTGGGTTCCCTCCACTGCAGTTCTGATATGCTCACCTCACTATTTCCAGCAGGCTTGGGATTTTTTCCTATTTAATTTTCACTTATCATATTGCCATAATAATACTGAAAAGCATGCTGGGTAGGGCATAGAACAAGATGACAAAGTTATGGCAAAGGTCTGGAAGACAGATCATGGGAACACAAATCATATCAAAGCAGTGCTGTTGTGCTAATGTAGAGAATTGCAATAATGAATGGTTTAAAACTGGCATGTTTCCATTCCTTACAGTAACACCATTGCAGTGAGATAGCAGGCTGGTATGATAAAGTTGTTAGAATGGTACACAAAGGAAGAATTCTGATTTCTTTACCCATTCTATTCCCTGGTATTCCTGATTGTCACTGATTTGGGTTTGAGTCCAAATTTGGAATGGAAACACCAGTTTCTTCTGTAATAGGAGCACATGAGCCTGCCCGTCTCTTGCAATGACCACTGTGCCATTATGTGTGTCTATTTATTTATTTATTGGGTTGTTATGGGTTTTCTGGGCTGTATGGCCATGTTCCAAAGCATTCTCTCCTGACATTTCACCCACATCTATGGCAGACATTCTCAGAGGGTGTGAGGTCTGTTGGAAACTAGGAAAGTGGGGTTTATATATTTGTGGAATAATGGCCAGGGTGGATAAAGAACTCTTGTCTGCTTGAAGAAAGTGTGAATGTTGCAATTGGCCACCTTGATTAGCACTGAATGGCCTTGCATTCAAAGCCTGGCTGCTTCCTGCCGGGGGAATCCTTCATTGGGAGGTGTTAGCTGGCCCTGATTGTTTCATGTTAGGAATTCCCCTTTTGTTTTTGTGTTCCTCTTTATTTACTATCGTGATTTTAGAGTTTTTTTTAATATTGGTAGCCAGATTTTGTTCATTTTAATGTTTTCTGTTGAAATTGTCCACATGCTTGTGTATTTCAGTGGCTTCTCTATGTTGTCTGACATGATAGTTGTTAGAGTGGTCCAGCATTTATGTGTTCTCCAGTACTGTGCTGTGTCCAGGGTGGTTCATCAAGTGCTCTGCTATGGCTGACTTCTCAGGCTGAATTAGTCTGCAGTGCCTTTCATGTTCTTTGATTCATTTTTGGGCAATGCTGCATTTGGAAGTATGTTATTTATTTATTTATCCATCTATCTATCCATCTAATTTTAAATGATCCAAGTGATAGGATACTACTATATGGCAAAGGACTGTTGTGTATTTAATTTAAATCTTTTTAAAAGTGAAATTATAGTTGCCTCCTATGATGCCATGTTACTGCCAGAAGCAAAGATGCATCAAAGTACTGAAGTATCAGGATTAAGGGAAGGATTGCAGACTGGAGAAGGAGAAGGGAAATGATTGACTTGTTGTTGTTCCTCTTGGTTATTTGGTTTTAATTTTCCTATTGCTGCTACTTCTAGCTGAACCATGACCTGTACGATGTGATGAGTAAACTGGAAAAGCAACACTCTGATAAAGTATTCATTATTAAAGGGGTACCAAGGTAAGTGATTTCTTGTTCAGTCTCCTAAGGATGTAGCACTCTACAACAGCAGTCGCTATGGGTGCCCAGTGCTTTAAAATTTGTCTCTCCTTCCCATCCCAGGTGCAACAGCTTTTAATTCAGAAGACTCAGGTTCCATATACCATTGAGGGGAACATAATTCCCTACATTTAGCCCATTTCCCTTTCTCACAATTAGTTAGACCAGCGTTTCTCAACCAGGGGGTCAGGACCCCTGGAGATGTCATGAGGGCATGTCAAAGGGGTCATTCACTGGACCAATACCTGATACACCCAAATTTGAATACTGGTGGGGTTGGTGGGGGATTGATTTTGTCATTTGGGAGTTGTAGTTGCTGGGAATTATAGTTCACCTACAATCAAAGAGCATTCTGAACTCCACCAACAATGGAATTGAACCAAACTTGGCACACAGAACTCCCATGACCAACAGAAAATACAGGAAATGTTTGCTGGGAATTGATCTTGAGTTTTGGAGTTGTAGTTCACCTACATCCAGAGAGCACTGTGGACTCAAACAATGATGGCTCTGGATCAAACTTGGGACGAATATTCAGTATGCCCAAATGGGAACACTGGAGGAGTTTGGGAAAAATAGACTTGACATTTGGGAGTTGTAGTTGCTGGGATTTATAGTTCACCTACTCTCAAAGAGCATTCTGAACCGTGTTAGACTCCCCCCCCCCCCAAATTTATATGCCTTATTAGTCAGACTTGCAAGTCAATTCCTTCCAGTGATCAATCATAAAAAGTACACTAAATACAAATTAGATCAGTGAGAAAGCTTATGTGATATAACAAACAAGCCTCTTGCAGCATTTGGGTGAGTAACTCTGCAAAAATTATGATTAACGCTTCACCTAGTTTGACCCTTATTTGGGTTCTTTATGAGGCTGGCACAGTAGGTCCCACTGTCTGAAGAAGAGGAAACACCCGGCCTGTCCCTTCTACAGCCACCACCTTCTCTCTTTGCTGTAGCCGTAGCTTCAGCCCACACTTCTCCCTTTGAAGAAGGCATTGGCATCAGGTGAGCTTCCCAGAGAGCCTGCCCACCTATCTTTTCCATTGATTCTTTCATTTGAGAGGTCACAAGAGTCCCACTAGCCAATTGGCCTACATTTGGCTCAATCGAAGAGCAGCCAAGTAGATTGATGTCCAAAGTGGCCACCCTTAAAAATTAGCAAGAAATTAGTTTTCTTTCATCTACAATTCCCAGAATCCACCAACCACTGTAGAATTCCTGGAACTGTTATCCAAAAAAGTCCCTCTTGCCTCTGGGAAAGACCTAGATGGCTCTCAGCGGGTGGGAGGATGTTGCCCACACAGAAGTAGGAAGCATATGCCATTCCCTGTTATCCCCTTTTCTTACATGAAGTAAGAAATTCACCCTGTTTTGTGGGAGAATAGACCCTATGGCTAATGGAGTAAAAGATAAATACCTCCTTCTATAAGAGATAATGCTTCTAGATGAGATGTATTGCCATGCAACCTTGTCTTCTTCATAGAATTTGTGTGTATTGTGAGGGAGATGTCAAGAGAATGCTTCTAGATGAGACCTATTGCCGTGCAACCTTGTCTTATTCATAGAACTTGTATGTATTGTGAGGGAGATGTCAAGAGGATGACATTGTGTTTCCATCATGCTTCTCATCTCCTTTCATGATTTGAATATTCATTAAAGTGCTTTGAGATTTTGACCAGGAAGCATCAAGTATCCTTGAAGTGGGGAACATCCAACCATTGTATATGGCACTTTATGATAAATCAGATTAAGACCTCTCTCCATTGATATTCAAGTTGTATACTGCCTTTGAATATGGAGGTTCCATTTCAGTATAGTGGCTAAATAGAACACAATGTAACAAGGGGCTGTATATTCAAGCAGGCTATTTTTGCTTACCTTACTACAGTAACAGAGGCTCATTGGTCATCTCATCTCCAGTAAGTCCAACCAGCCCTGTTTCCATTCCTGTGGAGAACAGCATTAGGGAGACATTAACATCTCCTACTGTCAAGACTCCAAACCAAAAGAGAGAATCTGTTCAAGATACAGAGGCAGTAGCATTAATGTCCAGTGGTGCCAGTGAAACAGAGGAGGACATCTCTGCACCTTCAATCTCGGAGTTGCAAAATGAGGGAGCGGAAGTGGCTGGATTGGGCACTTCTACAGGCAGTGGCTCCAAAGATGACAGCCAAGTGATGACACTGGAGACACCCATCCATGTTTCCCAAGGCACCCCCCAGGATGTTGAAGAAGTTGCAAACAATATAGCTGGGATGATCTTATCAACGGCAGTGTTTGTGGCAGCTGGTAAAGGGCAGAATGTTTGCAGAGACTCAGAAGCACAGCCTCCTTTGGTTGATGCCTTTGAAGCCAGGGATATCTATGAGAAAGGTGAAGGTTCTCCACCCCATCAGAAGGATGGCATTCCACATCCATTGAAGCAGGAAGATGAGCCCCTCCAGAATGTCTTGGATGAAGCCCGGGTTGATGAATCAGACCCTCAAGGGGACAGTTTGATATCCCATGAGAACTCAGTTTGTCCTGAAGGCGATCTCCAAGATTCTCCACCTCCAACCCAAGCTGAGAAGGTTGGAGGGGAAGCATTCAACGCCACTATTACTGCATTGGTGGACAGCGCCATTACTGAAGCTGAACGAGAAACAGGGCCCATTCAAGACCAGCAACCAGGAAAAGGAGCAGCAAGTGATCTGGATGTTAAAACTGATAAGGATGTTGAAACCAATGAAAACAGTGATGGAAGCATGGAAGAAATAGAAGTTTCCCCTAAAGCTATCAATACTCAGGTAAGGATGAGAGCTCTGTCCCCTTTCCCATTTCTTACTGTACTCTCTACTTATGTTCATCTCCAGTCTTGGGATGATGAAGCCCCTCCTCAGCCTACAGCAGCACCAGTATTGTGTTTATGTCAGCAAAATACGTGGGTCCTGATAGATTTCCAGGATTCTCTGTCTAATCATTGACCACTCAGATTTACATGAGAGCTCAAGAGCAAGATGTGAAGGAAACTACTCTCATAAGACTGATCTGATATTCTCAGTCCTCTGATTGTTCTGAACACTTTTTAAACATTTGTCTCTTAATGTATTATTGAAGGCTTTCATGGCTGGAATCACTGGGTTGTTGTAGGTTTTTCGGACTGTATGGCCATGTTCCAGAAGCATTCTCTCCTGACGTTTCGCCTGCATCTATGGCAAGCATCCTCAGAGGTTGTGAGGTCTGTTGGAAGCTAGGAAAATGGGATTTATTTTGCCTTCGAAAATACTTAAGGTACATTATCACACATTACATAAAGTACATTATCACACATTATCATACTACTCAGTAAGATACATTGAGAGCTCCCTAGAGATGAATAAAAGGATTTTTTTACTGCACACTATCATCCCAAACCAACCAAATGTCAGGAGAGAATGCTTCTAGAACGTGGTCATATATCCCAAAAAACCTACAACAACCCATTTGTCACTTACTTTGTCAGAATCATCCTTCCACCATAAATTTGCCTTGTGATTGGAGCACAAGTTTCTCCAAGGCAAAAACACCAGGGCCGCCCAATTTGGGAGATTTGATTGTATCCTACATGCCAGACATTTAAACAGAAGAGGAGTAGCAATCCTGTCTAGCAGGAAAAACCTAAAACGGTGCAGTTTTCAGAGTTGCTATCTTGCTGCTCCAAAAACTAATGCTAGACTTAAGCACTTACACAATTGGTGGTGTTTTGTTTTTGTTGCTGTTGTTGTTCATTCGTTCAGTCGTTTCCGACTCTTCGTGACTTCATGGACCAGCCCATGCCAGAGCTCCCTGTCGGCCGTCACCACCCCCAGCTCCTTCAAGGTCAATCCAGTCACTTCAAGATGCTATCCATCCATCTTGCCCTTGGTCGGCCCCTCTTCCTTTTGCCTTCAATTTTCCCCAGCATCATTGTCTTCTCTAAGCTTTCCTTTCTTCTCATGATGTGGCTAAAGTACTTCATCTTTGTCTCTACTATCTTTTTTTTTTGTTTTTGTTCCTGGTGATGTTCAAATGCTTCAAGTATATCATTCTTTCAATCCTCAGGCAGAATTCTGTAGAGTCGGTGCAATAAGGGAGTATTTTACCGCTGTATTGTAGACAGAAGGTGGAGGCGGAGAGAACAATGACTTCTCTGTGGCATCCAAGTGAGTGGGCCTAAATAGATGAGGAGAATTAGGCAATATTGCAGTTTGCACTCTGGGAAGATCTGATTTCCTTTTAATAGAGGCATTCCGTGGAGGAGATGACGTGTATGTGTTGGTCATCACTCCCTATTCATTGTATGAACAAATGATACTCTGAAAGTGAGTATCTAATTAAGTTACAAATGCTTTAATGGAATCTCCCTCTTGAACATGGCAGAGCTAACAGTAATTGATAAGAGTATGTCTAAAACGATTACTGCAAACATAGACTGCAGCCAGGAAATCAGAAGATGTTTACTTCTTGGGAGGAGAGCAATAACCAATCTCGATAAAATAGTGAAGAGTAGAGACATCACACTGGCAACGAAGATCCGCATAGTTAAAGCAATGGTTATCCCCGTAGTAACCTATGGATGTGAAAGCTGGACCATAGGGAAGGCTGAGCGAAGGAAGATAGATGCTTTTGAGCTGTGGTGATGGAGGAAAGTTCTGAGAGTGCCTTGGACTGCGAGAAGATCCAACCAGTCCATACTTCAGGAAATAAAGCCCGACTGCTCATTGGAGGGAAGGATATTAGAGGCAAAGATGAAGTATTTTGGCCACATAATGAGAAGACAGGAAAGCTTAGAGAAGACAATGATGCTGGGGAAAATGGAAGGAAAAAGGAAGAGGGGCCAACCAAGGGCAAGATGGATGGATGGTATCCTTGAAGTGACTGGCTTGACTCTGAAGGAGCTGGGGGTGGTGACGACCAACAAGGACATCTGGCGTGGGCTGGTCCATGAGGTCACAAAGAGTTGGAAGCAACTGAACGAATAAACATGTTAAAACATTTATATCTCCCCTTTCTACCACAAGACGCATGACAGCCAATAAATATTTAAAGTAAACAATGTGAAATCCCATAAAATTAGGACAACCAAAACAATATTATCCAATCTTTATCCAAATGCAACATTTGTCAGCAGGAAGATAATGTGGAGGGATGGGAAATGCAAAGTTCTCAAGAATATGGCAGCACCTAGGTGCCACCACTTGTCAACCGATTCCTGTACTTCCTATTTTTGTAACTTGTGGGGAAGTCAAAGGGATCTTCTGGAGGCGTGGGGAGCAACCCACCACATTTGGAGACAGTCTAGACCTGCCAGGGATGAAAACTAATTTTTGCAAAAGTATTCCAAAACAATATTTTGAGGGGCCTAAATATGACTCAAATTACCCCTAGAAGCTCCCGGTGGCGCAGTGGGTTAAACCGCTGAGCTGCTAAACTTGTTGACTGAAAGTTCACGGGTTTGAATCCAAGGAGCAGCGTGAGCTTTTGCTGTCAGCCCCAGCTTCTGTCAACCTAGCCGTTCGGAAAACATGCAAATGTGAGTAGATCAAAAGGTACTGCTCTGGTGGGAAGGTAACGACACTCCATGCAGTCATGCTGGCTACATGACCTTGGAGGTGTCTATGGACAATGCCAGCTGTTCAGCTTAGAAATAGAGATGAGTACCACCCCCAAGAGGTTGTGTACCACCCTCCAGGTGGAGATGAGTACCATCCCCTGGGTTGTAGCATCTGAAGTAAGCTATGACCCAAACAGGAAGAAAGTTATTGTGGAAGAAAGATATTGTGACCTTTTAAAAGCAGTTGAAAATGTGAATTAATTCACATTTTCAACAGAGGATTAATCATGACTGTCCCAAACCATATTGGAACAGTTGGAAGGTATGAAGATGTTTGGTTGGCTCTGTAAGAATTCAAGTCCAGAACATATATAAACATTTCATATCTTCCTTCATCTTTCTTTGAGCATCTAGAGATCTATGAAATTTAAGATCTTTTCACATAGCTTCCAACTATCCCAGTGTAATATAGACAATTTCTATTACTTCTCTTTGCCTTTATGAAGAAGTTCTTAATCAGTAGTGGGTTTATAGATTGATATATTTTTTTTGTTGTGTCAGGAGCGACTTGAGAAACTGCAAGTCGCTTCTGGTGTGAGAGAATTGGCCGTCTGCAAGGACATTGCCCAGGGGACACCCGGATGATTTGATGTTTTTATCTTCCTTGTGGGAGGTTTCTCTCATGTCCCTGCATGAGGAGCTGGAGCTGATAGAGGGAGCTCATCCGCCTCTCCCCAGATTTGAACCTGCGACCTGTCGGTCTTCAGTCCTGCCGGCACAGGGGTTGAACCCACTGCACCACCGGGGACTCCCATATATATATCTCAGTGTAAAATTTGTTCTCTTCTATATGTTCATATACCTACTGCATTCTGTGTGATATCGCAGTATTGAGTGCTTTTGTGAGCCACCCTGAGTTCCTTCGGGAAGATGGTGGCAGGATACAAATAAAGTATTATTATTATTACTAATCTTAAACCATTTCTGCATTGCCACATTATCCAGATTATCAAAGCAGATAATCCACATTATATACTTTGAACTGGATTATTTGAGTCTAAACTGCCATATAATCCAGTTCAAAGAAAACAATCTGGATTGTATATGGCTATGTAGAAGGGGCCTTATTTAAATTTCTGCATACTGAGCAGAAAGCACAGAAGCAATTTGCAATGAATTAAATTGGAAGGAAAAGTCTTGTCCTTCCCAGCAGACTTAGGAAAAAAGAAAACTGCTGCATGCTCACCTAGTTTGTGCATTCTTCTCCATTAGTAACATTGCCGTCTTGATATTGCTTAGCTTCCTACATCCTGGTTTTAATCTGGGAATATTGAGTAGTCAGACATGATTGCTATCTTAATAACGAAAAGGGTTCTTGTTTGTTTCAGATTATCTCTAGCTTCTTCTCAGATGATAAAAAAGAGGATTATGACAAACTGCCTCTGGGATTCTTGTTCAAGGTAAGAAGAAACATTCCCTGTCTTGTCTTGACAGGTAGGAGATGGCCTTCTGCTTTTGGTTATTGGGTAATTGACAGCCTTGTGAAAGCTTGGGCCTGGATTGAGGAAGGAGGGCATAAGTCAGAAATCTTTAATGTTTGAGCCTGTGCAGGATGAACAGCTGAATTATGGTTGTCATTTTTTACTTCAAAGAACCAGTTCAGATTTCTCTGTATGATAGAAGTAAGGACATAGTTTCTGTCTATATAGATAAGACTCCCAATGCTACAATACCAGCTTCTTCTTGGTTCTAGAAATGCAATGCCTTATTGCTATTCTGCTTCATATTCCAGGCTCAGGCAATTCAAGCTTATGCTTCAGATGATGATAACCATCTTCAGTTTGGAGAAGGGGAGACCATACTAGTGCTCTCAGATGCCCAGGCCGAGGTAACATCATACTATATGTTTACCATTGTAATTCAAAATGTGTGTGGCAAATGGTGCTAATGGTGCTGCTGTAATATTTCTTACTGTTGTGTGTTAGTGGTTCCCAACCTTCTTTTGACCAGGGACCACCTAACCAGGGACCACTTTGACCAAGGATCACTCTCCAACATTAGTACCAAAAGGGTTACAAATGAGGTTTTGGTCAACTTTAGATTCACTTTGGTTATTTGGGGTTCTGATTCAGAAAATGGCATGGGATAGACCACATCAGCTCTAGTTTCCGATACAGAACATATGGCATCCAGTAGTTGCCATCTGCTCGTCTACAGAAAACCATATCTAATAATCTAGAGCTCATGCGGTGGTAGTAGTTTTTCGTGGATAGTCTCTATTGCCGTGGCACCATAAGAGGGTTTTGCAAGACAAGTCACTCTCTTTTCCACTTGGTTTTGAGGCAACGGTATAGTAATGGTGAGACAGCGGACCATATTTTCGTTCTTATGGAACACCGGTGGTCCACGGACCACATCTTGGGGACCGCTGATTTAAGTTGACTGTGCCTTATGGCCACCCTCTCATAGGTATTTCTAGCCAGATTTATTCAGAAGAGCTTTGGTATTACTTTCTTCTGAGGCTGTGTCATCCAGCAGGTTTCCTGTTAGTCTGACACTCATACCACTACATCATGCCCACAATACCAGAAGCAGCCGAATTTGTTTTGTTGTATTTTATTGCATTGCTTCTTGGCGGGAGCAGGGAAGCTAAGTCTTTCATTCTGAACTCTGCCAAAGGTAAAGAGGAAAAGAAAAAAAAAAGGAAGAGCTTGGTGGTGGTGCTATAAAATCATACCCACTCACATCACGTGACTGCCTTGAGTAGCAGAACTGCAGTGGGAGGAACATTGTGCATGTAAATCCATTGTGGAAAAGCAGGATATTTGGGAGGCACTGACAGGTCTTACCCATGAATTAAAAAAGGGTGCTCCAGGAGTGGATGGGATATATACGTACAAAGCACCTATATGACAAACATAGTCCTTTTCTTAATGCAACCATGATCTATCCTTGCTGTGTCCTGTGTCTGTGGCATGGTAGGGGTGTTTCCCCATTGTGTGAGGGCTTTGTTTGTATGTTTAATGTACCTGCTCCCTTCTGTCAAACATTAACTCTCCGCTTCTGGTCTACAGTTCTCTAACTCACACCAAACTTACCTACTTTAGGCTGGCATAAGGGAGGAAGAAGAAGAACTTTATTTTTCTACCCCGCCTCCATTTCCCCAAGGGGACTCGGAGTGGCTTGCATGGAGTCAACATACAATTAAAAGCAAAACAATAGCAAGTTACAAATTAAAATGACACAAAACAGCATAACAATAATAAACAAGCATCAAGCAACAGCAACCCAATTTTGGAGGGGGAGAAGGAGGCCAACATACAAATAGATTAAAAGGTAAATAGATCAATAAGGTAGATAGGAACATAAATGGCACAGGAGATATCATGGAAACAGAGCAATTAAACAGGATAAGGAGGACACAGTTCCTGTGCTGACCACTGAGGAAGGAGCTTCCCATCTTGGTCAGCTCGCTAGATTTCTATGTGGGATCCAAAGGGGAATTGAGTCTTCTGTCTCTCCAGTGTTCAGCCTTCTCCAGTGTTTGTGTGAATGCTTCTTCAACTGCATTCGGTCTTTTACTATAACCCCCTCCAACTATTGAACTGCTCTACCCATTATCACTGGTCACTGCCTATACTGGCTGGAGCTGATGTGAATTGTAGCTTTAAAATCCAAATACATCAGTTTGGGAAAGCCTACTTCATTACCTGCAGCTGTCAATCTGATACTTACATGATACTAACCTTTTACTTAAGTACTAGCTTGACAACAGTTGAAAACACTGCACTGCTCACTAGAAAACTCCATGTCCAGTGTTTGCTTTTGCCACAAGCTCATTATGGCCCCATCTGCATTGCCATATAAAATCTAGATTATCTGCTTTGAACTAGTTTATATGGCAGTGTAGACTCATATAATCAAGTTCAAAGCAGATGATATGGATTATCTGTTTGATTATCTGGATTACATGCCAGTGTAGAAGGGGCCTTAGTGACCTTAAGGCAAGCTACCAGAAATGAGATTACTTTTGCCTTGTCAGTGCTACCATGCAAACAGGCGTGCCCAGTAAATTGCAAAACCCTCTTTTTCTAATAATCCTAGGCTCCCAGAAATGTTTAAGTTATCTGGAATATTGACTCACACTATCACATCATATTTTCCCAAGTTATTTTTAAACACGGAAGCTAGCTAGGCATTTGATAGAGAGAGAGAAAATCAACATGGGAGTATATTAGGGCCCTTCCATACAGTTCTAAATCCCAGAATATCAAGGCAAAAAATCCCACAAGACCTGCTTTGAACTGGGTTATCTGAATCCACACTCAAATAATGTGGGATTTTGAGAAACTGCAAGTTGCTTCTGGTGTGAGAGAACTGGCCGTCTGCAGAGATGTTGCCCAGGGGATGCCTGGATGTATTACCATCCTGTAGGAGGCTTCTCTCATGTCCCTGCATGAGAAGCTGGAACTGACAAATGGGAGCTCACCCTGCTCTCTGGATTCAAACCGCCGACCTTTCAGTCAGCAGTCCTACTGGCACAAGGGTTTAATTCGACCTAGGGAACGGGGGTGGGGAACAACGTTAGTAATTCCAAAGCGGTCTCCTGATATGACAAGTTGGTGTAACCAGGATGGCGGTCCCTCCGGATTGAAAGTGGTGCTGTTGAACGCCAGATCTGTCAACGGTAAAACAACTTTCATCCAGGATTTAATCCTGGATGAACGGGCAGATCTGGCGTGCATCACAGAGACCTGGTTGGACGAAGCGGGAGGTGTAAATTTAACCCAGCTTTGCCCACCAGGCTTCTCTGTGCAGCACCAGCCGAGATCCGGAGGGCGGGGAGGCGGAGTTGCAGTGGTCTATAGAGATTCCATTCTTCTGACCAGGGCCCCCATCCCGCAGTCAACAAATTTTGAATGCGTCCACCTGAGGGTGGGTGACCGGGACAGATTAGGGATTCTGTTAGTGTACCGTCCACCTCGCTGCACTACTGACTCCCTGACTGAGCTAGCGGGGGTGGTCTCGGACCTGGCGTTGGAGTCCCAACGGCTGCTTGTGCTGGGGGACTTCAATGTCCATGCCGAGGTCGCCCTATCGGGAGCGGCTCAGGACTTCATGTCTACCATGGCAACCATGGGGCTGTCCCAACAGGTATCTGGCCCCACCCACAGTGCTGGACATACATTGGACTTGGTTTTCTGTCAGGGATGGGAGGAAGGTGGCGGTGTTGAGGAGTTAACCATCTCTCCGTTGCCGTGGACCGACCACCACCTGGTCAGCTTTAGACTCACTGCACCCCCCAACCTCCGCAGAGGTGGAGGACCCATTAAATTGGTCCGCCCCAGGAGGCTTATGGATCCGGATGGATTCCTGATGGCTCTTGGGGAATTTCCCGCCACCTCGGTTGGTGATCCTGTTGATGCTCTGGTCGCTCTCTGGAATGGGGAGATGACTAGGGCAATAGACACGATCGCTCCAGAACGTCCCCTCTCAAGTAGCCGAGCTA